CCTGGTAAATAATTTCCAAAAAACCTGCAAGACTACATTTTATCAGACCTTCCCTGAAACACACATTTGCATCATGAGGATAAAGGCTGACCGATACTCCTGGATGCCGGCTCTTGGCTCTCGGCCAGGCAGTCAGAGCTGTACAGATTTTCTAGGCGGGTCCCCAGAGGCTAATGACGTGGTTTCTCTCAGGCCAGTCTCATCATGCAGTCTAGGATAGGTCTTCCTGGGCAGGTCATTCAAATGACTCAACTACAACTGGGCTGTGGAACTAGCGAGGGAGAAATCCCAGCAGCTCTTTTGGAGGAGGCATGAAGAATGACCACCGATGTGAGCCGTCCTGCCCAGGTCTGTACCTTTGGTAATAAAGGAGCCCGTCCTGCTCAGTGCCGAGGAGCCGCTGGATGTGGAGTCACAGCGAAGAAGGGGCTCGGACTCGTCCACGAAGAAGCCCTTGTTCTTATCCAGGGGGGAGGGTTCCACCGTCAGGAGAGTGGAATTCTCAAGTTTCGTGTTGGGGCTGGCAATGGGGCCCGGGCTAAGTGGGCTGGGGTTCACTGGGAGAGCCAGTTTGTCAGTTTCCAGCTGTGAGATGGAAGAAAAAAGATTTTTCTAATTATATATTCAAAAATTATATAGAAAAAAATGAAATTAAGACCCCTCCTCAGATGCTATTTTTTGTTCCACTTAATATTTTATAGATAAATTCTCCCATGTTAACAGTCCATAACTTATATCGTTGCTATACACACACACTTCTAAACCCTTCAAAAATATACACAACGGCATGTATGAGCATTAAAGATTTGGAACCAATCTGCTGTCTCACAGGAGTAGAAGTGGACAAGCGAGTGAAGAGGAAGATCTCCAACGTAAAATATAATTTTGTAGAACTGGAGAAGGTCTTAGATAATACCTAGTATATTCCCCTCTGTCATGGGTTGAATTACATCCCCCCAAAATTTATATGTTGAGGTCGTAACTCCCCGCATCTCAGAATATGACAGCATTTGGAGATGGGGCCTATAAAGAGGTAATTGAGGTACAATTAGTTCTTAACCCAATATGATTGGTGTCCTTATAAGAAGAGAGATTTGGACACAAACACACACAGAGAGAAGACCATGTGAGGGCACAGGGAGAAGACGGCCACCTTCTACAAGCTGAGGAGACAGGCCTCAGAGGAAACCAACCCTGATGACACCTTCCTCTCAAACTTCTAGCCTCCTGAATTGTGAGAAAATAAATTTGTGTTGTTTAAGTGGTCCTTTATTATGGCAGCTGTAGCAAACTAGTACACACTCTCCTTACCAGTAAGGAAACTGAGGCCTGGAGAAGTTCAGTGACTTTCATAATTAAGGGCTCCCAACTGGTAAGTGGCAGAACTAAGACTAGACCCTGGCTCCCATTTCAAACTAGCTTAGGAATTAAATAAAACTGCTTGAAAGAATGAGAACAGGAGAACACCAGAGGCAAAAGTGGCTGGAAAGAGGACCACCCCGCTGGAGCCCGTGATCGGCTCTAAGGACATAATGGAGACCATGAAGATTGCTTTCTGGAGTGGGGGTCAGAGAGACAATAACAAGCAAGCAAACCAACAAGATGGTTTCAGATGGAGATAGTGAGCTTCAGGACCACTCTGGCTGGTGTGTGGACAACAGATTTTAGGGAGGCAAAAATCAAAGTAGGGAGAGCAGGAGGTACAATCATGGCTTGTACCCGGGTGTACACTGGAGATGAGAGAAGTGATAGGTGATTCCAGCCCATGTTACAGGTGAAATAACGAAGGCCCAGAGAGGGCATGCAGCTACTGGGAGAAAGCCAGTGCTTGACTCTGGTCTGCTTGACATCTCTGTTTGGCCCCGTCATTTGACCTTATACCTTAGAACTCTGGCAGGCACTCTCGGCATCTCATAGTCCACTCTCTTTATCTTTTTATTGGCTCTTCTGGCATGGATGAAAATCTGGGAGCCAGGTGGCCAGATCACAGAGGGCAAGGTTCAGGGAGTGATGCGCACTCTTCCCAGAGCTGTTAATCACCGCTCATTAAAACCCCCTTGACTTCGCTCACACACCTCAAGTTCCTCAATCAGGAAGACATTGACCCTCATTTGAAAGCATTACGTTGAATAATTGTACAACACACAGCAAACACAACTGCCTCTTTTACAACCTTTACGGCCTGAGAAATTCTTGCAGCTGACTGCAGATTCTGAAGAGCACTGATTGCTGCACACATCTAACGTTCCAACAGCGTTTTTCCTCTGTACAGCCACCCACACCCTGCTGCTGCTTCCACTGCAAGTTTAAGACTCAGATAACACGCATTCCCAGTGGCCCCCTTCGAATGCACAGACAAGTTTTACGTATATGCTCTTAAATTTTTAATTCAATAGGCCCTGGCATGCGCCCCTCCTCCCTAAAAATGCACATGGCCATTCATGCCAACACACATTTTTTATTCATTCAAATAGACAAAGGGCACTTGTCTACATTCTGGTTCTCAGGGACATTACATTGGATGACATGGTCAGTCAATATAGTGCCCTGTTCTTGCTTAAAAAAGAAATTCCCACCCACAAATCACATGCCAACAGGCTAAGAAGTCCACCCACTTATTTCCTGAACTCAGTTCAAAACTTTAAATATTTAATTCCACCCGCCCCCACCCCGCACTTTTGTCAAAGTATCCTATCAGTGGAAATTAAGCACATGATCTCCAACATAATTTAGAAAGATAGAATGTTGAAGTGATGCACTCCTGTAATTAACAAGTCTAGTGAATATAAAAATGCCCCTAGGAACGGTTTTGGCAACAGCACAACGGAGCTAACAACTATAGCTAAAACCAGGGACGATCTGGTGATCATCTTTCCAGAAAATCTATTCAGCTACTAAGTTTAGGTACCCTTCACTTAGTGTAGCATACACAGCAGCTGGTTGCATTCCAGATTTCTCTAAAGTTATCTGCATGTTTTCTCATACGACAGAAAAAATTGCTCCTAGAGACTAACTCCTTTCCTCCTTGTACCTTAATATTTACAATATCCATCAAAATTGGTTTGCAACACTGCAACTCAAGTATTGTGTTACCTGTGACATCTCTAATCAGAAACTGAGTCATCGGGATATGAGGAATAAATTAATTCTTTAGTAATTCAGAAAATTCATGGTTCAGTATTGAGTTTACAGCAAATGAAGAACACTTACAAAAAATTTAGACACTCAAAGAGAAAATAAATATTCTAAACAAGAAAACCAGATTTCCACAGAAGAGGGTCTTCTCTTGCAAAAGCATTGAGCATAAACTTATCAAAATATTCACAAAATAGATTATGAGTAACTTGATTTATTCCTTATGCTTCTTTAAGCTTTCCAAATTCTTTACAGGCACATATTAACTTTTATAACTCCAAAAAAAAAAAATCAATGTTATTTTTAAAAGCAGTCACCACTGATAAGTCTATTTTCCTTCTGCTAACTTGAAAACGTTATGGCTGCAGGGGCTCTTTTTTATCTTGGTAGCCAAGGAACAGGATGGTTGAAGATCATATACTCAGCTGAGCTCCTCTCTATACTTCTATTAAGTGTTCATGGGCACAAAAGGGCAACAACTCCCAATTTATTACACTGAGGCAGATATTAAGACTTAAAAGAAAGGTCTCTGGGAAAATTTGGCCAGTGAAGGCAATGTATACACCAGATATTTGAAGTTGCTTTGGAGGAACTTGAAAAGTACATTCTTTTTGCTTTATAGCCATGAGGTCATCTTGCTAACTTGGAAGACTTACTTGAGAAATGAGGTAGAGACAGCAAGACAGACCAAAAGAGGAGGGAGCAGGGATAATGAGAGGACCTCCCTGAGCAGCCAAAAACAGAATGATTCTATTGTGTGAGCTTCAAGAAGCATGCAATTTATTTTGGCCAAATGAGCCCCAAATGTCCTCCTGGTTAGTTTCCATTTAAGAACGCTTAGTCCTTCCAGATGCTGTACTTATTAGTCCAAAGTGATAAGGAAAGAGAGACAAATGGTTCACCTTACTCAACTGCTGAGTCACACCTAATGCTCCATTGCTGACCTATTTTCCTTTCTGATTACCAGAACCACTGAGGATGAGGAACCATTCAAAGGGATTAGGTAAACAAGGTATTGATCGAAATGTGTGGGCGTGAACATCTCTGGGCCACAGAGGTTTGTAGCAGTGTTTTCGAGAACAATGATTAACTTGTATTTGGGTTGTGGAAGAGCCATTTCAGCTGTGTCCTTGCCACCCTCCACTCCTACCTCAACCAGGTGCCAACACTGAAGTGCCCACTCTGGGCGCTCAACCAAATCACAACTTGAAACCGAGGCTCAAAAATAATTCTCCTCTTTTAATACCAAACCAAAAATTCACTTCCCTGTTGACTGGGCCTTTCCTAGGATGATACACTATGGAAGGTTGAAGAGTTCGCTAGCCCCTGGGGATGGTGGAGCCATGAATGGTAAAGGAAAATTCTTCCAAGCCTTTGTTATGGCAATATATGGTGGTACATAAATGAAACAAGGTTTTTTGAGACGACTTTCTTCTCTGCTATGATCTAGCATCATTCCTGAGCATACTCTGCAGACAGGAACGGGCAGGGAACTCGAGCCTCAGAAGCTATCCCTTCAGCAGGCATTTCATGTTCCCCACAGTCAATTCCTAAAAATCAAAGTCATGAAAATCCTGGAACATCACTTCAAGGGAAGAAAGCAAATACACCACTAACTAGCTACGTGGTCTTAAAAAACCCACTTCCCTCCTCAGACACGTTTCCTCATTTCTAAACGAAAAAGGTTAGACGAGATCATCTCTGCCCAAATTATGTCTTATTTATAGTTTGTCTTAGTATTGCTATTTCATTCTCCCTCTCACCCCTCACCCTCCACCCCAGCTCCCTTTCTCCTTCCAAGTTACCCCCAACTGGTTCACTCAACGAAGATTTACCACCGAGTTATTTTCAATTACTACCCAATTACAAACTCCCTGTGGTTACACAATCTGTTTTTATAAAACTAATTAACAACTTTGATGCATCAGTGACCCCCTGAAATGAAGCACTAATTACCCAGCCTGGATGCTCCTTTCAATCTGCTAAAATGGTTCAACTTAACCCCTTGGCTCCTGGCACTACCCAGTCGGATTCCACCAGGCCCCTTCCCCCGAGCCCCTGTAGCCAGATATGCCTGACTTACTCCAGAATAAAGCTCCTTACAATCAAAAGTCACCCTTTCAACTGAACTTTCCCCCCAGATCTCATCCAACTTAGAAAGAAGGAAGAATTCTATGTTATATTTTTGAAAATTTCTGTCACTTTAATGATGGTTTTTAAAAGCCCATTTGCTAAATTCAATGGAAACTAATTGCTGTTCCACCTGAGTTGACAAGTTGTTACTCAGATCCAGTAAACAAAAAGGGACTCCAAGAAATAAGCCATTATGGATACTGTGCTAAATGATTCAGCACGAAATACATGTAATCTATTTGCTGTTAAGGTGGCTCTTATTAGCTCCATTTTATGGATGAGAAAACTGAGGCTCTAAAAGGTTTCTGTAACCTGCCCAAGGTCACAGCGGCAGGATTCAAGATCAGGTCTGTCTAGTTCCAAAGCAATCCTCTTTGCTGAGCCATGACACTTCCCTGTCTGGACCCACTGCAGTTAGAGAAATTGACAGACTCTGCAAACTCAATATAAACAATCACGTGACCACAAGGAGCTGCCCTGGCCGCTCAGACAGAGTGAAGGGGCCAGAGGCAGTGTCTGCAAGGACCTGTAACTCAATGGCAGAGCTTACACTCTGGCTGGATGACTGCCCTGAGATACAGATGAGAGATTCTGTAAACCAGACACTTCACCTGTAGCCAATAACTTGTTTTCTATTTGAAAGTATTTCAGATCCCAACAGACCAGTGACTGTTGAAAAAAGCAAACAAATTCAATTTCCACTAAAGGTTTATCTCAAAGGAATTACAGTCACAAATAAATACATAACTACAACTATTTAAAGATTATGATATTATCTCAAGCTTGTGTCCCCTGCTCTCCTAGTTGTCCATGTAATCAAGATCAAGTTAGATCTCACGACCTCCAATAGGGCCATGTAGGAATGAAAGATTGGGCTCTGATAAAAACATTTTTTTATAATTCTCTTTGCCATATAAGTATCTCTTGATATCTGAGTCTATGTGGTCCCTCCGTTCAGAGAACAGGGATTCAGGTAATAAGTAATGCTTTGTTATCCAAATCTATGTGGTTCCAGGATTTCAGATATAAATGAGGGTTCAGCTAATGAGCGTTATCAGCCCTATCTCAAAAAATTTATCTGAATCTATTCAATTCCTAAGTTCACATATTGAAGAATACCAGTCACAGATGATAGGAGACAACAACTTTAATTATTCTTCTGAGTGTGAATTCTTAAATCCAACCCAGAGGAAGGAGTCTTGGCAAGAATAATCTAAATTTACTCAGCAAAATTTTTTGCAATCAAAAAGAAAAAAGTTAAGAGGGAAATGGGAAGAGGCTGATTCCTAACCTTTAAAAGAAGGGTTATCAGTTATAAAAAATCTAGAGAGAGGTCTTGGAAACAAGAATATGGATTGGAAATATACATGCACATGTATAGATAAAGCAAAGACGTCATAAAGCAATGTGAATAATTATTGAGGGGCCGGCCCGGTGGCGCAAGCGGTTGGGTGCGCGCGCTCCGCTGCGGCGGCCCAGGGTTCGCTGGTTCAGATCCCGGGCGCGCACCGACGCACTGCTTGGCAAGCCATGCTGTGGCGGCGTCCCATATAAAGTGGAGGAAGATGGGCACACATGTTAGCCCAGGGCCGTCTTCCTCAGCAAAAAAAGAGGAGGATTGGCGGATGTTAGCACAGGGCTGATCTCCTCACAAAAAAAAAAAAAAAAAAAAATAATTATTGAATCTAGGTGCTAAGTTTATGGGTGTTTGTTGTACTGTGTTTTCAACTTTTCTTTGTCTCATAAGTCTTATTTTTAAAAGTTAGGAAAATAAATAAATAAGAAAGGCTAAAAGCCAAATAACCGTCAGACAAAAATTCCCCCAACTTTTCCTAGCCTTGATTATTTACTCTTTTGTTGTCTTTCCTCCTTTCCTTTTCTCCAGCCCAGCCCAGACCACAGGAAAGGGAGGCAAGGAGGTGTTTCCACTGCATAAATAGGGAACAGTGCTAACAATTAAATCTAAATCACCAATCAGCAAGTGGACATCACTGGCCTTATGCTGTGTAGATCTCCTGGGGTCACTGGAGGTCATGGGATAGAAGAAGGAACAGGAGTACAACGCCAAGATGTCCTACTCAGCTTCCTGGGAAGCCCTGCACCAGACCACAGAGGCAGCAGAGCTGAGTCAACAGAGCTGTGCACTGCCCAGGTGAGTTGAGAGCCAACGGCAGAGCCTGCAGAAGGAACTCACCCACCCTCAGGAGGCTCATAGGATTAACTTGACCAAAAATGCCACAACCACTGGGGAATTATTTTAAAAGACACCCACATCCACCCTAGATCTGTCCAAGCATAGGATAATGAAAGGATTTTGTTTCAACTGCAACCTTACTTAAGACTATATTTAAACTTCAGCCTAGGTTAGCTGGCCACGTGTGTCTCTCCCTTAAGTACGCCAACCTCAGATCAAGACAGTTGCTGTAGTCTTGCATATATATGTCATCTACTAATTCTGATCATTTCTAAGTGTTAATTTCAAAACTGAATCCCAAGGGCTACAAATCCACCCACATTTAAGTCAAGGTGTCCGTGGCCAATCCTTGTCCTAAGCAAGAGAACCGTTCCTCTCCTGGACGCACATGGGAAGAATGACAGGAAGCCACAAGCAGTGCTATACAAAGCTGCCAAAGCTGGTCAGAACCAGCTGACTCCGGGGGGAGGCAGGGCGGGCGGGCCCCGCCCCGCTGCTGGCGCATGTGTCTGCAAGCTGTCCAGGCTGCTGACATCAACGGTAACGTTGCAGCCCTGAGCTGATTCACTGACTAGCTCTCTCAAAAGAGGAAGTGAGGATAGTGAGTAAGCGGGCTCTCCTGGTTCAGACCTGGAGCCCGCTCACATTCACACCCACTGCCGAGCCTTGCAAGAGCTCGGCTCTGTCAGTACGTTAGGAGATCGTGCTCTGTAGGTTCCCCCGACTTCCCTCAGTGAGATCTATTAGGAAGCCTTTCCCACAAAACAGCCTTTGGACAATTCTAACTAGGAAAAAAGTTGCACAAATCTTCTAAGTTTGCCTTAATGTATTATGGAGGATAGAAAGTAATTTCATAGGAAACTCATGGACTTGAGACCCTTCTTAGTTCAAGCTCTCTTTGCTACTCGAGTTTCCTAAACTTGCCAAATTTGATTGAATTAGTATTATTTAATAAAGTCACTAGTTAGATTCACGCCATTAGAATTAGAATATATGTGGTACACAATTCCAAAGGTACCGAAGGGGATAGCGTGAAAATTACTTCTCCCTTACTGACCTCTGGCTTTAGCCTCTGACTTGCAGGTTTCGGCTACTCAGTTCCCTTCCTGGTAGTAACTACTGTTACCAATTCCCTGGTTCTCTTCCAGAGAAATCTATACTTATACCAATAAACAGGGATATAAATTCCCCACCCCACCTCAGCTCTTATTTTTTACAATAAGGTGAGGCACGGTGTACGCACTGTTCTGCACCTTGCCTTTTTTCATTTAAAAACAGTTCTCCAGGTTAGCACACAAAGAGCTGACTCACTCTTTTTGACAAGTGCATACTGTTCCACTGTAGGAATGGTCCATAACCTACATAACCAGTTCTCTATGGAAGGGCTTCTGTGTTGCTCTACTCTTTTCTTATTACAAGTGATGCTATAATGAACACTTGTACTTGCACCATTCTGCACATGTGGGAATACATGTAGGACATATTCCTAGAAGCGAGATGTCAGTGGTCAGCTGCCATGCATTTGGTAGATAATGCCAGATGGCCCTCCATAAGGGCTGGGCTACTTACACTCGCATCAGCAACAGATGCTGTTCCTCTTTCCCTCTACCTTCACGACACAAGAATGGCATCAGACCTTTTCCTCCTTGCCAGTCTGAGAGGGTAAAATTGTATTTCAGTGTAGGTTTCAATTTGAATTCTTCTTATTCTGAGCAAGGGGTAAAAATCTGTATACCTTTAGGACCCTTTTCTGTGAACTGTCATGTTCTTTTTCTTTTGGGTCCATTTTTCTTTTAAGTTGTTGGTCTCCTAATTAGTTTGTAAAAGCTCTTCATTTTTTAAGGAAATTAACCCAATGTTGCAAACAACTTCTTCCAGTTAGTATTCTGTCTTTTGATTTGCATGCAGTGTTTTCTGGCTTGTATATTTATTGTTAAGTAGTTGAATCTTTCTTGTATGGCTTTTGGTTTTATATCATTCTCAGAAGAGCCTTACCTACTGTTGTGATTATAAAACAAAAAATTTCCCCCATTTTTTTTTCTAGTACTTTTTGGTGATAAGTCATATTAATGGTTGGTCATCCAGCCTGTCCCTTGACTCAGCCCAACTATGGAGAAATCAGAACAGAGTTCCCTCTGTGACAATTTATGGGAAAATTAGGAGTGACAGCTGTCTCTCTCAAGGAAATGGTAAGGAATAAGTGATTAAAACGATAAAATTAACTGGTGTATAATAAAACCTCCTGCTGACCATGATATAATTCCTCATTAGCAAGTGTACCTGCAATTGGCACTTGGGTTATAACAGATCAAGAGACAGTCTCGCAAACACAGGACAGAGAAGGTCGGCCAAAACAAAAGCTATTAACCTTTATCCAGACATGAGTTTTGACTTAAAAAAAAAATTAAAATATGATCTCCAGCACTGGTGATTGATGAAGAAAATAAGATTCTTTTCACGATATTGATTTCGATTTCCTCCCAAAGCACTTTTTGAGAAAGCCTTTGAGGGTGTGGATTAAAGGGGTAGAAAAGGTCATCAACTAATAGACTCAGCCTTTTCTGAATGTAGTGACACCATGTCTCAGGGAAAATCAAAGCCCACTTCAAATTCTCTGTTTAGCAGTTTGACAGAATCTATTGCAAGGTTTGGTTCACTTACCTATCCCTCCCATAAAACTGTCAGCGTCATGAGGGATGATTCTCTGTTTTTGTGTTTTGTGTGTGGGTTTTTTTTTTTTTTCATTTAGTATCTCCAATGCCTGATACAGGGCTCAAAATGTAATGGGTGTTCCATTAATGTTTGCTAAATAAATTGCTTGTGTTAAACCATCTCAACCTTAAAGAGTATAAAAAAACAAAAAGCATGTATAAGGATGTGGGTGTTGGGGAGGGAGGATATATCAATGTCAAGACCCCAAGAATCTGTTTCCCAGACTTTTCTCCTTATAACGTGTACACATCAAGCTCAACTGCCATATTTCATTAATTCTATGACACATATTTTTTTACATTTTAATAGCTCTAAAATAGGGATGTATCTTACAACTATAATTGGCAGTATTTTTATTGCTTTCTTTGTGGTACATATAATAATGGCACATCTTACAATTGACATGGCATCCAATAAAATACAGAAATACATCTTAATTCTAACACCTACCTATACGTTGCAGGACCATGAAGCTTGCTAGATAAGCACTGATGTAAAGCACCCAGAGGGTGTTTGGGACACAACAGAAACTCAGCAAACGCTGGTTTCCTTTCTCCTTAATGTGCATTTATTGAAAGTAGAGTGGTGTCATTTGCTCTTGAGTCAAAAAAGGAGAATGTGCAGTTCAAATTCCAACACCCAGATCCTTACAAGACAGCTACGAATCAAGCAGTCAAAAGTCAAACTGTTGAATTTGTCAGTCCCTTCTATTTTAGATCTTGGAGATTCAAAGTTTGAACTCTAGCACTTGACATGAAGTGGGACACTGGAAGCTTATTCCTGTACCTTTCATAGTGCAGAACAATGAAAAGCTTCTGAAAAGCTTGTTACTGAACAAAACAAAACAAGGTTCTAAGTAAAACAGACATTCATTGCAGAGTCAAAGGTTTAAGAAGCCCTTGGTATGACAAAGCAGGCAGGGCACCCTAGGGAAAGTCTTGGGGAAGAAGACCAAAACATAGTCTTGAAAGAAACTACCATCTGTTTTTTTTTTTAAAAATGACCTTCAAATGGACAAATATATGTCTGCTCTTGTTTTCTACGTATTTTTTGGTGGGTCAAGTACTCCTGCCTTCTGATGCTATTTTATAATTCCTTGTGCAGACTTCCTTTATGACATTTGCTTATGCCACTGAATCCTAATTATTGCACAGGTGTTCCATCTTCGCGAGTGAGCTGTTGAAAGGCAAAGACCACCTTTCTTCTTTACACCGTCCCAGGCGCACAGCTGGTGTTTGACAATAGGTTGTTGACTAACTGAATGAAACCTTGGAATAAGATAAAAAGTAGAACAGCCTGAAATGTCATTAAAACCTATAGGCTGATTCATAGACATGGCTTCTTTGTGCACAATGACCACCTTAAATTAAACACAAGCATCACTAAGTGTACCTGGGCCTATTGTGTGTCAGCAATCCCTTTACAACGCTCCTTCTCCTCCACACCCTAGAAGTTCCCCAGAGCCTGCAGTCACATCCTGCAAATAAAGTAACTTGACCTTAAATGACCCTCTACGCTCTGGTAATGCAGCAGAGGGCAGGGCTAGATACGTGCGAGCTTAGCTAACATCTTCAGGCCTTAGGACAATAATCCTTATTTTCTGAGATAACCAACCGGCAAATTAAAGACAAAGACAAATCTGAATAGCCAAAAAGCCAACAGTTACATATACAGCTGGTATTTGCCTCAACTCGCCCTCACTATATTAGATTTCTGAAAATAGCTGGTCTCAGGCAGACCCTAGATAAGGACAGCTGCATCCTGCAGCTGGTGAGCAACAAGTCAATAACTGTAGTTCCCTCTGCGGCAGCAGCAGTGGTACCATCCTCGCCAAATAGAATGCCCAGAGCTCTTCTCACTGTTGACATTCTCCCAGATGATTATACACAGCAACGCCACCCAGTCTCCAACACATAGTCCACTACGGGTGAGAGAGAGAACTCTCTCCCCCTTAGGTCTCCTATGTGATTTCTGGAAAGGATTCAGAATCTCTAACAAAGAGTCATTCTCCCACATAGAAGTCAACAACACCAACACTGGCTTCAGGTCCACTAGTGGTTAGATTCCAGTGTCATTTCAATCTATCTAATCTTACGGAAGGAGCGAAGGAGGGCTAAGACAGCCAGCTCCTCTGCCTGATCAACACCAATTCTTTACATTTGTGAATCTCTGGTCAAAACAGACAGCTAAAGTAACACTTTATATTATTTTAAACTATTGAGGTTGTTTTTAATATTATTATTTTTTAAATGTACATAAAATTACTTTTTCCTCCCTTTTTCAAAATGAAACAATAAAGGAATGCTGGAATTCAAATCACAATTACTGCCCAACCGTTACTTTAGCACCTCCTTTTTTTACATCCCACAGTTTAACAAGCCATTATCTCATTTAATTCTGATAACCACTTGAATTCCCATTTTAAATAGAAAAATCTGAGTCAGAGAAATCATTTGCCCAGAGTTTCCTATAGAGAAGAAAAACAAGTCCGCCCCCTCCAAGGGAGAGGCAAAAAAGAAAAGAAAAAGATTGCACTGGCCAAGCCCACCCAAATATACAAAAGTTCCGAAAAGAAAAGAAAAAAACATAAAAGGAATCCCAGAAATTCAGTTGCTCACTTTTGTTTCCCTTTTTCCGACAGCTGTTGAGAGAACAGGCGGTTATCTTCACACACACCATCACCTTCGTTTCTTCACTAGAGAAAACACCCCTGCTGGCCTAGGAACATTCGCTCAGCCAGTAAGGAATAAATATTTACAGTTAGCTGGAATTTCCAGTTCTTGGGCACTGAACCCAGATAGCAACCCTCGTGCTCAACGGTCTACTTTAAGCAGTCCTAGAATTGGGAATGCCTCCCCACCCCACACTAAGTAACCCTTGATGTTCAGGATTTAAAGGACTCATTATGTGTCTAAGAGTTGGAGCGAGTTAGGAACGTTCTCCCATCCCTCTCACCTCTAGAGCCTGGGAATAATTGCAACTATTAATGGTAAACATTCACCAAGGGCTTACTGTGGGTCACACTTAATTCTCACAACATCTCATAGGACAGGCACTAACGGTGTTCCCATTTTCTCAGGAAAAACTGAGGCAGAGAGGCCAAGTCATTTACCAAAGCGTCCCCAATGTGAAATGCTGCCAGGACAGGAGTTGAACCTGGCACATGTCTGCATGCTGATGCCTCAATTTGGAGCCTTAATGGCCTGTTAGTTGTGCACCCAGCACTTCCTCCTCCCACACTTGTGGATTTACTCCCTTAAATTATATAAGTGCGTATAAGTTTCTTCCATTCAACTGGAAGCTTCCCTGACAGCACTAACTTTGTCTTACTCATCTTTGCGTTGCTCAAAGTGCCCGGTCTGATATTGCGCACATAACTTGTTACGTAATATAGATTTAAAAATAAAATCATCTCCTTTCCTTTGCTGTTTAGCGGGAGAAACTTAAACCCAGGCATGAAAGTACTGAAAGAAAATAACTGTCAAGCTTAAATTCTATTTTCCAGCTATCCCTCAAAAACAAAGGGCAAATAATGCAATTAATTTATTTAGTGGGCATTTTCCAAACAAAGAGAAACAGAGCTTATTGCTGGAAACCTACACTAAGTATTCTTTAGGCCAAAGAGAAATGATCTCAGCTGAAGCTGTAGGAAGGAATAAAGAACAAGAGAAAAGATCAATATGCAGGTATATCTAGGTGTATCTGACCGCGTAAAACCATAATAATTATGCCTTCGGCGGGTTAAAAAATATGTAGTGTTAAAATTCATGACAACAAAAAACATAATGCAAGAGAAGGATAAATAGGATTACAGTCTTCTAAGGTTATTGTATTGTTTGCAAATAGTAAAACGTGCACATTTATAAAACGTCTCTCATAATTTAATTGTACACGTTGTAATCCCTATGGTATCCATTAAAAATAAAGTAAAAAATGCATAACAAGCTAATAGAAGAGAAAAAGTAGAATAATAAAAAACACTTGATTAATCCAAAAGAAGGCAAGAAAGGAGAGAAAAAAAAGAGGACAAGACAAATACAAAACAAATAATAAGGTGGTAGATTTAAACCCAAATATATGAGTAATTACATTAAAAATGTCACCACACTGAAATTCTCTAATTAAACGACAAAAACTGTCAGACTAGATTTTTTAAAAAACCTTCAGTATATGCTACTTACAAAAGACTTTTTTTAAATAAAGCCACAGGAAAAAAAAAATCAAAGTAAAAGGATGGAAAAAAGAGATAACATACTATTTGGAATGCTGTATTAGGCTTTTGTTTTGATTTTTAAATAGCTTTGGCAAAATCACAGTAACTTCCAACTACTGTCCCACTGTGTTGCTGCTTTTTCCAAATGCTCATGCCCTGGGAGGGAAGAAGAGGTGTGATTCTGGAAGGTGGGGTTCAGTTTAGAGGTTGAACTTGAAAGAAGAGAGTACTGAAAAATATAGCTTATACTTCAGATAAAGAGTCAAGTAGGTGAATGGATAAATAAACTGTGGTACGTCCAGGAAATGGAATATTATTCTGCACTGAAAACAAAGGAGCTCTCAAGTCATGAAAAGACATGGAGGAACCTTAAATGCATATTACTAAGTGAAAGAAGCCAATCTGAAAAGGCTAGATACTGTACGATTCCTACTATATGACATTCTGGAAAAGGCAAAACTATGGAGACAATAAAAAGATTAGTAGTTGCCAGGAGTGGCGTAGGAGGGGAGAGATAAATAGGCAGAGCACAGAGGATTTTGGGGCAGTGCAAGTATTCTGTATGATATTATAACGATGGATACATGTCATTACACATTTGTCCAAACCCACAGAATGCACAACACCAAGAGTGAACCCTGCGGTAAACTATGGACTTTGGGTGATTATGATGTGTCAATGTAGGTTCATCCTTTGTAAAAAATGTACCACTCTGGTGGGCGGTATGGATGATGGGGGAGGATATGCATGTGTGAGAGCAGCAAGTATATGGGAAATCTCTGTACCTCTCTCTCAATTTTGTGTAAACCTAAAACTGCTCTAAAAATAAAGTCTTAAAAAAAAAACTTCAAAGAACAGCACACCAAAAAGTGAATTTTACTGTATAATTTTTCTAATGCATAAAAAAAATTTAGAAAAATAAAAAAGAGTTAGTCTCTGGATGTGTTTAATTAGAAAATGGCTAATAGGCCACTGTGGTTAATAATGGACCAGCTGTTCTTGACAGAGGTAACTGAACAGCGCACCGGGGCTAATCCTTCGAGTGGAACATAACATAGGTGCTCTCAGGCTCATGAATAGGAAAAAACATTAACCATTTTTAAAAACACACACTCGGTCATTTTTACACATTAAGAGTCCATTAATTCCTGCGGCAAAGTCCCAAATTTCCAGCCGTACCACAATACACAAAGAATACAAATCCATCATAAGATGGAACGAATAAGTCTCACTTATGCCCCATGCGTCCTGATTCTCTTGTTGGACTTGACAAATCTCAGCGATAAACCATGAACAGACAGTTACATACTGTGAGATTAGTAAAAGCTGGCACCCAAAAATCCATGCCCGTTGGCTATGAAAATTAGAGTCAAAGCTGGATCCAGCATGTTGCTAGACAATGATGGGCATTATTAAAACATGGAACAAGAAGCTTAATATTGCCTTCTCAGCCTCCATCCTAACACACAGGGTACACTAGAACCAGAGAGAAAGCTATACGTTGTTTTGATGTCACTGTTCCTTAAAAAATAAAAAACAAAAAATAGATATTAGAATCTTTTTGTATATAGAGGAGATAAGAGGAAGGAAAAAACTAAAGGTACAAGGGTTTGGCACTTAGGGACTAAGTGTTTTGTGTTCTTCTTCCTTGACCCAGCAGTTTTTGTTATGAATCACTCTCCTTGATATGCAGTCTTCTCCATGGAGACTCTGAGCTCACCTTTCCCAGCACCTATGACAGTGCCTGCTCAGTAAATATTTATGGAACACAGTGGAACCATCCGAGAAACATACAAAGGTCATTTGTTAGAGTCAATACCCTACCACCATCACTACCACCCCCAAAAAAGAAGTACCTGAAGATTAGGCCCACACTCTAAGTGGTTGCTAAGTGTACATAGAGAAATGAGATGGACATGCAGAAACCAAAAATGAAGTAAGTTTTAAGAATTTTGGCAAATCTCACTCAACATTGCAAACCTCAGTCAGTCCTACCAAGGAAGAATGGATTGTCACGTACACCACTGTCTGCTCTCCCCAAATTAAAACAAGGATGGCTCCCTCTCTCAATTTACCACAGTAAATCAAAGCCCTTCCTATCCTTTCTCTTGGACTCTCTCAGCTTTGTCATTTTAAATCACAAAAGTAATATGTTGTCATTATAGAAAATAATAAAAAAGAGAAATCATTTCTAATTCTACCACCTAGATTTAATAACATAACATTAACATTTATGCTTTTTCATTTTCCTATGCTTATATTTGTTTTTTCTAAGAAACATTCTTTTCCCTGAACAATACCTCATGATCATCTTTCTACCTTATTAAATATTCCATTTAACCAAATCCTAACATGGCACCAGTCACATTTTATCTTTCTTGCAGGCACTGCCAAGGAGATCCACTGACTTATTCTCCAGTATCTAAATCCTTCTTCAAGTCTGCTGCTTGCCCTACCAGTTCTTTCCTTAAAGCCAACATCCCAAAGAAGCACAACAAAGTTTGCCTCTAGACACCTTTTATTTGAATTGTATCCATTTTATTTAATTAGAGATTAAACATCTCCCTTTCCTTTCCCCAAATCCAGCTACTTAAAGCTTGGTTTTAGTTGTGAACCGTACTTACTGAGATTGTTTCTCAGAAAATCACAAGACACTGGTGTGTGTCTTTGAATGCTTACCACTGCATCTATTAGTAAATATTTTTTCTGAAATTCCACATTTTAAAGAAGTTAAAAAACATACCAGGAGCTTTAAAGACTACCTTCAGAGTTAATTAGCACCTATAAATTTTTATCCAGTCACTTAGACAAAAGATCCACCTGATAAATGTCTACCTTCAATGGGGAAGAAACACTACACTATTAGTATAAAAAGATAAAAGCTTTTGGACTTCTTAAATATATAAAATTGAGTTCCTTGATATATAAAATTTGGTGCAGAATGATTGGAGTTGATGGGGGAAATCCCTCCCTAGCTCTTTTAGGTAGTGAGTTTGGACCACTGGAAAATCACACAGGCAGAATGGCTTTTTAAATTTTAAGTGGGTTTTATCAAGTCTCAGTGGCAGCATTTTCTTTATTTTGGGAATACAATCCAAAACTTTAATTGAAGTGTGTGAGAAATATGATTCAATACCCAAATTTGTCCTTAATCCATGGCCTTTCAGGGAAGCACATTATGATTAAGGAAAGGCTAAGTAAAATGAGTTACATCATAATCATAACTACCATTTGTACAACACCTTCAATCGTCAGGCATTTTATATACTTTATTTCTAATCTTAATTAATCCTATAAAGTTGACTTACAAATGAGATAACAGAAGCAGAGAAAGTTGAAGTAATTTACCCTTAATCACCCAGCTAGTAAGTGTCAGAGCCAAGATTCAAACCCAGGGCTCATTGACCAGAGACTATAAATAAATCACACTGCTGGGTCCCCTCAGTTCCCATCTGATGTACGGATTAAACAAGCCCAAGGAGGAGGATCAATCCTGTTACCCACTGCTGCCAGCACCACCCGCATCCTTCAGGAGGTAAGATGGGGCCTTCCTAAGCCACATCACAGAAAACATCCTCTGGACTGGGGAGGGTATGGAAAAAAAAAGTTGCCCTTCTCGGTTTTGTTCAAAGTGTGTTATGCAACATAAAACTGTAAATGGGGTAACAAGGAGCAGATCTGGCTGCACAGCCTGATGCTAGAACCTACCCCAAATACAATGATTCTCAACTTTGACTACACATTAGAATCACTTAGAGAGCTTTTAAAAATACTGATTCCTAGTCCTCCCCCTAGAGATTCTGATTTGACTGGTCTACATTGGGGTCCAAGCATCAGAATTTTTAAAAGTTCTTTAGATGATTCTAATGGACAACTGCTAAGAACCACCGCCCTAGAAGGTGTGTGTGTGTATGTGTATGAACCTAAAAACCTAATATCAGTTATTTTTCATTATTACATATACATGGTAAAATCTGAAGCACAGGGACCAAAAGGTTAGTGGGAAAGACCGATGACCTGGGCTACAGTACCTGGGCTGTATCTTCCATCAGTCCACGAA